AAACCCTTCCCCCCCCTTAATCCCCTCCCACTTCCTCTCTGGTTACTGTCAGATTGTTCTTAATTTCAATATCTCTGGTTATATTTCCCTTGTTTGTTTTATTGAATAGGTTCCACTTAAGGTGAGGTCATACCATATTTGTTTTCACAGCCTGGCTTATTTAACTTGGCATAATGCTCTTCATTTCCATCCATACTTTTGCAAAAGGTAGGAGTTCCTTCCTTCACTCTGCTGCATAGTATTCCATTGTGTAAATGTACCATAGTTTTTTTATCCACTCATTTACTGATGGGCACCCAGGCTGTTTCGAGGACTTGGCTATTGTAAATTGTGCTGCCATGAATTTTAGGGTGCGTAGGTTCTTTTGGATTGGTGTTTCAGGATTCTTAGGTTATAATCCCAGCCGTGGAATTCCTGGGTCATAAGGCAGTACCATTTATAGTTTTTGGAGGAAATTCTATACTGTTTTCCACAGTAGCTGCACCAGTCTACATTTCCACCAACAGTGTATTAGGGTTCCCTTTTCTCCACTTTCTCTCCAACACTTGTTTGTTGATTTGTTTTTAATGGCCATTCTCACTGGGGTGAAGTGATATCTCATTATCATTTTTATTTGCATCTGTCTGATGGCTAGTGATGCTTTGCATGTTTTCATGTGGCTATGTACATTTTGTATGTCCTCTTTAGAGAAGGGTCTGTTTAGGTCTTTTGCTCAATTTTTATTGGGTTTTTTCTCTTCCTGGAGTAGACTTGTGTGAGTTCTTTATGTATTTTGGAGATCAAACCCTTGTCCAAGGTATCATTGGCAAATATGTTTTCCCATACAGTTGGTTCTCTTTTCATTTTAATGCTGTTTTTAGCCATGTATAATCTTTTTATTTTGATGAGGCCCCATTTGTTTATTTTTTCTGTTATGTCCCTTGCCTTAGGGGACATATTGGTGAAAATATTGCTGTGTGGAGTACCTGAGATTTCCCTGCAGATGTTTTCCTCTAGGACTTTTAGGGTATAATGACTTAAACTTAAATCTGTTATCCATCTTGAATTTATTTTTGTGTATAGTGTAAGTTGGTGATCGAGTTTCATTTTTGCGCATGTAGCTGTCCTAATCTCCAAACACCATTGGTTGAAGAGGCTATTTTTACTCCATTTTATGCTTCTGTGCCCCCTTTGTCAAATATTAATTGATCATACAGACTTGGGTTTATTTTTAGGCTCACTATTCTGTTCCATTGGTCTGTCTGTTCCTATGCCATTACCAGGCTGTTTTGATTACAGTGACCTTGTAAACCCAGTTCGATATCTGGTATTGTGATCCCTCCTACTTTGTTCTTCTTTCTAAAAATTGCTGCGTCAATTCAGGGATGTTTATGGTTCCACTTAAATTTTTGAAGTCTTTGTTCTATGTCTGTGAATTATGCCATTGATACTTAATAGTCATTACATTGAATCTATAAATTGTTTTGCATGATATGGACATTTTGATGATGTTAATTCTTCAAATCCATGGGCACGATATATATTTCCATTTGTTTGTGTCTTTCTTGATATCTTTCTTCACTGTTGTGTAACTCTCTGAGTACAGGTCTTTTACACCCTTGTTTAGCTTATTCCTAGGTATTTTATTTTTCTTCTCGCTATATCAAATGGGATTTTATTTTTCCTGATTTCTGTTTCTGATATTTCCTTGTCGGTGTACAAAAATGCCTTTGATTTATGAATATTCACTTTGTATCCCACTGTTTTGCAAAATTCACTTATTAGGTCGAGCACTTTTTGATGGAATATATAGGATTTTCTAGGTACACTATCATGTCATCTGCAATCAATGACAGTTTTGCTTCCTTCTTTCCAATTTGGATGCCTTTTATTTCTTTTTCTTGTCTGAATGCTGTGGTTAGGACTTCCAATACTATGTTGAATAGGAGTGGTGAATGTGGGATCCTTGTCTTATTCTTGATCTTGTGGGAAAGCTCTAAATATTTGCCCATTAAATGTATGATGTTAGCTGTTGGTCTCTCATATATGGCCTTTAATATGTTGATGAATGCCCCCACTATTCCCACTTTGCTAAGTGTTTTATCATACATGGGTGCTTTACCCTTATGAAATGCTTTTTCCATATCTATTGCTATGATTATGTTCTTTTTGTCTTTCATTTTGTTTGTGTGATTTATTACATTTATTGATTTGTGAATATTGTACCATCCTTCATTCCTGGGATGAATCCCACTTGATCATGGTGTATGATCTTTTTATTATATTACTGGAAGTGGTTTGCCAATATTTTCTTGAGGATTTTGGTGTCTATGTTCAGCAGTGATATTGGCCTGAAGTTTTCTTTACTTATTGTGTCTTTCTCTGGTTTGGGGATTAGAATGATGCTGACTTCATTAAAAGAGTTTGAGAATGTTCTGACTTCTTGGATTTTTTGAAATAATCTATGAAAGATAGGGGTTAGCTCTTCCTTAAATGCTTTGTAAAAATATCCTGTGAAACCATCTGCTCCAGTGCTTTTGTGTGTCAGAAACCTTTTGATTACTGCTTCAATTTCATCAGTTGTTATTGGTCTGTTCCGGCTTTCTGTTTGTTCCTCATTCAGTTTTGGAAGATTATGCTTTTCTAGAAATTTGTCCATTTCACCTAGGATTTCAAATTTCTTAGCATATAATTGTTCATAGTAATTTCTTACAATCCTTTGTATTTCTGTGGTATCAGTTGTAATCTCTTTCATTTCTGATTGTGTTTATTTTGGTCCTCTCTTTTTTTTGATGAGTCTGCTTAAACACTTGTCAATTTTGTTTATGTTTTCAAAGATCCAGCTCCTGTATTTATTGATCCTTATAATTGTGCTTTTAGTCTCCATGTCATTTCATTCTGCTCTGACCTTGGTTGATCCTTCCTTCTACTTTGGGCTTTGTTTGTTCCTCCAGTTCTTATAGAGATAGGGTTAGGTCGTTTATTTGAAATGTTTCTGGAGAACCTCCAGTCAAGATGGAAGTGTATCTACGTATACTTAGTATACGTAGATACACTGCCTGCTTACGCAACCAAAATAAGGACAACAATTTAGAAACAAAAAATAACCAGTACTGACAATATTGAACTGTATGGAATTCCTGCAAACAAGGAGTTAAAGTAGACATACTCATCCAGACTGGTAGGAGGGGCAAAGTCAGGCGGCCAGGCAGAGAGGGGTCAGAGCAATGCTGTGGCTGGCAGACCCCAGGTGTGCATGGCAGCAGCTGGCAGACCCAGCAAAGCTCACAAAAATGGCTGGCAGACCAGGCGGTTCCACATTCATACACAGATTAACCAGGCAAAACTGGGGAGTGAGGCAGACCACACAACCCAGGGTCCCGGTGTGGGGGAATAAAGCCTCAAAACACTGATTCAAAACACTTGTGTGAGTTGAGGTGCAGAGAGAAGCGCCCAGCCTCACAGGAGAGTTCGTTGGAGAGACCCACAGGGTTCTAGAATATACACAAGCCCACCCACACAGAAATCAGCACCAGAAGGGCCCAATTTGCTTGTGGAAAGAGTGGGAAGTGACTGAAATCCAGAAAGAGCAGACCAAGCACCATTGTTCCCCTTCCCCACATACAGCATCACAACCCAGCAACGGTTGCCCCACCCTGGTGAACACTTAAGGCTTTGCACCTCACTTCGTAACAGGAGCATCAGGACAAAAAAAAAAAAAAAGGCCCAAAGGAAAGAACAGATCAAAGGTCCAGAAATAATACAGCTGAGACAGGAAGAAATAGCCAGTCTATCAGATGCATAGTTCAAAACACTGGTAATCAGGATGCTTACAGAATTGGTTGAATTTGGTCACAAATTAGGTGAAAAAGATAGAGGCTATACTAAGCGAAATAAAGGAAAATGTACAGGGAACCAACAGTGATGGTAAGGAAACTGGGACTCAAATCAATGGGGTGGACTGGAAGGAAGAAACAAGAATTCAAAAAAAATGAAAGGCTTAGGAACCTCCAGGACATCTTTAAACATTTTCCAGACATCACCTGGCTCCTCAAGTTCTCTGTTGACCCAGCCTCGTGTGCAGTCTCAGCAGGTTAACACCGCCCTTGTGCATCTGCCACTTCGTCTTTATTCCCCCAAACGACTTCAAGCATCCAGGTTCATCCTGGTGCCACTCTTTCCTCCCAGTTTGGCAGGGGAGGGAGCTGTTGATTTGGCTCTCTTCCAAGAATCTGGGGTGTCACACCTAGGGCTGCAGTAGCCCTGGTCCTCGAGCTGGTTTCAGGGACTTTTATCATCCCAAAGCAATCTCTTTACCATCTGTTTCTTAGTGTCCTGTACAGTTTTGGCCTCCAACCTTAATATATTCTGGGTTACCATTGGCTGTTCACTATTCCTCAGATCAGCTAGGTGTTCCACCTGTGCACAGAGGGAAGTGGACTCAGCTCCTACCTACCTTGCCACCATTTTCTATTGTCTATTGTTTTGTCATCATTTTTAATGCCTCAGACAATGAAACTTCAATCATGATAGAATCATTCAGTGATGTGTGTACAGCTATTATTTTATTCAATTAAGTTACATCATTCAAATGTGCTTGCCTCTGATACTAATCTCTTCAATATGTTCAATACACATTTTATTAAGATAGCAAGCATGTAAGAAAAGGTAAAATTTCCCCACTGGTTTAGAAAACCATGAAATGAAGCAGAACAAAAGCTTGTAATGCAATAAAATGAAATTCATATTTGTGAATATTATACTTAAGAAGTGTTTACATACCTTGGTTACTTTTCCAGAGGAATGACAATGTAAACAGGCAGTTAAACTTCCTATCCCACAGAAATTAAGTATGGTCATATTCTTAAAAATTGGCTGTCCTACTTGTCAGTTCTTCGACTTTAACCAAGTTGCTATCTCTCCATGTCTCAGTTTTAAGTAAGTAAGAGGTTGAATTTGGTTGTCTTGTTCCAAATTTTTAAATGACTTTTTAAAAGGTTTTATTTTTATTTATGTTTTAGAGACCAATGAAGGGAGGGAGAATGAGAGGGAAACATCCATTGGTTGCCTGTCTCTTGCCCCAACCTGGAGACCTAGCCCACAACCCAGAAATGTGCTCTGACTGGGACTCAAATCTGCACAACCATTCAGTTTGCGGGACAACATCCAAACCACTGAGCCATACCAGTCAGGGTTTGTCACAAATTTTTATAATCCTAGGACAGTACTGGTTTTCAATACAGGGTGGGGAAAAAGTAGGCTTACAATTGTTCATATGGAAAAAAATAACACAAGAATAAACTCTGGTTTGTGTATTCAAAATTGTAAACCTTTTCCTCCACCCTGTATATCTATTTTGCAAATAATTCTGTACACTGACATTACTCATAAAAGCAAAGGGAAAAGTAAAATCTTGTAGATTTATGTGGAAACCTCAATATCACCTTCAAACTGGAAAGTATGTGATTAAAGTTGCTGTTATAGAAAAAATTAGGTTTATTTTTCTTACCCTTTATCAAACTGACACCTTGACAATATGAGACAAGATCAACAAAAAGGAAAACAACCCCAGTGAAACTTGGAGAAGCATTCACTATAAATGAAAAATAAGAAGAAATGTATTTTTAAAGGTTTATCAGATAAAGCATTTAATTGTATTAATGCGACAATATGGAGTACTAGATTTAGTTAACTGAAGTTTTCAATCTTAAACTTAGAATATTTTCTAAAATTAATTTCAGTATATTTTCTTCTCATAAATAGAGTAATTCAGGTTAACTAAGAATTCAATTTGAAGAATTCCAATCTTTAAGGAAAATTTCAGTTTATTTCAACATAAAATCATTGTATTCATAATTTAACAACATGCTTGAAAGATGTACACTGTAAAGGATTTGAATTACAAACTTTTCAATATTAATCTGTTGGTTGTAAACAAGTTTATGTACTTGTAAACTCTCCTACTGCCAGAAATTGGATCAGATGGGATTGGATTATCAAGAATAGCTACTGTTTCAATTATGGTTATGTTAAATACATGTGGTAGTATTGGACAGTTTTACTCATGCAAATCTATTTCTGCATAGTGTGAAAATCTGAAGTGGTGATAATGTGAGATTTCAAATTCTGTAAATATAATTTCATCAAAAATTATTAAATACTACTTTAAAATTTTTCTGTTTGCATTTTTAAGTGAGATCATCTTTTATTATTAAGAGCCTATTCTATGCCCAGTATTTCACTATAATCTAAACCAAAAAGCCTCTGTCAGCAAATAACTTTTAGTCTAGATGGGGACATTATACTCATATACAACAAACAACTAGAGAATAGTGGAATGTAAAGTCTATTGCTGACTTGAAGTGCAGTAGAAGCTTAAAGGAAATGTGGGCTTAGACTCATCAGACAAGACTTAGAGGAAGTGGAAGATGAGCCAGGCTTAAAGAATGGATTAGATTAATTCAGTGAAATGAAGGAACTGGACACAATCAAGTGCAGAAAAATGAGCCAAATCATGATCAGGTAGGAAGGAGTTAAGTGAAAACACTACATTAAAAGCAGAATTTGAATTGGGGAATAGGTAGGAAAATCAGCATAACCCTATTTTAGATTGTTTTCCTTCCTTTACATAAGCCACTCTAATTTCTAAAAGAAGAAAAGTATTTTGATTGCCTGGAGCCCTTTGAGAGCCAAGGTGTGATAATTTGAAGAAAAAAACACAATTTGTAAGAAATATTGGAAGGAAATCTAGGCTTAAATTAGATGATTTTACCCTATACATTAGAGAATCTATGGGTTTTAACTCAGAAAATCAAAGGGTTGCATATAAAAATTCTACTGTCAGGATATTCGTTGTCCTAGTCAGGTTGATTTTACCACTGTGGGAACAATTATGAATTAATATGAAAGTACTATTGAGCCAAATGGAAATACTCCTTCCAAACCACTCTAATTTGCATCCAATCCTTAGCTCAAGTGATTTACTCCTATAATGTCCTTTCCCTCATTTTCAACTGTCTAAATCTTAGGCTGTCTACAACCCTACATGGAATTTACCTCTTCAGCCACAAATGTCATTTCTTGTGCTTCTATACCTAATGTAGAACAGTGAATACATCCTGCCTTATTGGCAGGGACTATCACTTTTTATTGTGTACTCTTCAAGGGTAAATAACATAGCAGATGCTTGGTAAATGGCAACTGATTCCTTAAAATCATCAGTAATACTTTTATGATAAATTAATACATGCTGGAAATGCTAAATACCAGCTAGATAAATGTAATGTCTAGGTTCTTTCCTGGTAGTTTAGGAGTTCCCCACTATTCACTACTTACTGAGGCTCTTTTCATTCTATGCTACCTACTAACATTCATGCCTCAAGTTTTAGCTACCTTACAGTGTCTTTTTAAAATTTTTTTAAAGTCAGAAGCCTCTGAGTGGGGTATAAATAGTTGGAAAGCCTGTGAAATTTTAATATCCCTTTTGAGGATCGTTAATGATTGAACTGAAGCTTTCCAAGAACGTATAGTTTGTTTTCTGTTGGTTTTTATTTGTATGTCTGAGGAGATGGGAGACAGTAGTAGAACGAAAAGTCCTTATATTTAAAAGTACTTTTCAAGAGATAACATTACCATATTCACAAAACAAATGTATTGAGTATCCACTGCAGTTCTTTAAAATGAGTCTTTAAAAGAAAATGGTATGCTTTCTGAATTCCTCTGCCTACTGGAGCTATCTCCTGGAGTGGAATAGGTTTTCTTAAAATCTTTGGAAAATTTTTTAAGAGACTATAAATTGCACCAAAAAAGCTTTAAGGAATCTAAGAAGGCAAAGATAATTATGAATCAAATATGCAGCATTTGTTTTCTACTGGGACACTTAAGTCATATTCACAATGTGATAATTTATTTTATGTACACTGAGTTCTTTTATGTAAAATCTATAGGATATGTGTGTTTTCCAGAATCTAGGTATAAGTTATGCATAACATTTAGCCAAAAGTCAGGAATTCAACCAGTAATTAAATAATGGTTCCTACACAAAGCAGTTTTCCTCTATATTGATTTACTTTACCATCTGTTTTCTAGGCATATATTTTGGCATCATCCACCCAAAACGGTGAGAACTGACTATACCAAGCATACCTAGACCACATGAAGAAAGGAGTGAGACTAGAAACTGCAAACCCACATTGTCTGTATTGAACAGATTGACGACAGACCACTCTAGCAAAGGACAGTAAATGCCACATGAGATGATCCCCTCAACACAAAGTTGTAAGTAACTTTAGGGAATTACAGGGTGACTAGAAAGTTGTCTCAAATGGCTCAATTAAAAAAAAAACTCTTCATTTTGAAACTTGTGGCCCGTATGCTTGTAAATTAAGATATACTGAGTTGTCAAGTAGTGGACTGATTTGTGGATGAGATTTTAAGGCAAAATACAATGCAGTATTCCCCCCACAGTAACTTGGCACCTCTGTCTTTAAACCTGAGGCAGTTTACATGAATTTGGATAACTAGATTAAAATTAAGTTATTGGACTTTTGCCTAGGAGAACCAATTAAAGGACTTTAGTCTTGATACAGCAAGAAATAGGAGGCAGCATAGCCCAGCCTCTTGAAACAACATAGTGGAAGTTGACAAAGTAATGGAATTTTTGGAAATTAAATATGGAAATTAAACAAAAGGATTCTAAGAAATAAAGTCTAGTGGTAAGGGAACTGGACAAATGACTAGTGTAATCTAGGAGTGAAGAAATCCTGAACAGAATAATGGCAATGAGAAGGGAAGTGAATGAGTAAATTAAAGATGTTTCAAAAGGGAAAATTACAGAACATCATGATGAGTTGGATAAAAGGGTGGTGTCAAAAATTATATATTTTCTGTATTAGACAATCATGGTATCACTGAAAGTGGACAGTTTAGAGAAGCTGGTTTGAGAAGGAAAGATGCTGAGTCCCATTTTTGTAATACTGAATTTAAGATGGTGTATAGGCATTTCATTTGAAATGCTTTAGTTAAAGGTTGCTGAATATATAGGCCTGGAATTCTATGTAAAAGTCAATCTGAAGAGGTAAATTTGTCAGTGTCCACAAAAAGCAGATAAGGTTAGATAAGCTAATGGAAACTCTTTATTGTGGTCAATAGATTCCTTCTCTTTAAAAAGAAATATATAAGCCCTGGCTGGCGTAGCTCAGTGGATTGAGCACGGGCTGGGAACCAAAGTGTCCCAGGTTCGATTCCCAGCCAGGGTACATTCCTGGGTTGCAGGCTATAACCCCCAGCAACCGCACATTGATGTTTCTCTCTCTCTCTCTCTCTCTCTCTCTCTCTCTCTCTCTCTCTCCCCCCCTCCCCCCTCCCTCCCTCCCTTCCCTCTCTAAAAATAAATAAATAAAATCTTTAAAAAATATATATATATATATAAACATGTTTATGTAAATACTTGATTAGGTATGTAATCTTAAATAAACATTTCCAAAATTAAATTAAAACTCTCCCTTTTTCCTTGAAGTGTCATATCTCATTTTTGTGCCTATAAGAAAATCCCTACTTTTGTATCATTTATGAAGGTCAATGACTAAAGTGTGTTACTATTCTTGAATCTTAACCTCTATTTCCATTAATAAAACAAAGATCTCTCCCAGTACTAAACTGAAAGAATAAAATTGAGAACTTAAAGTCCAAATAATTCACTTAGTTAAAACTTTGTAAAATTGACGTGGCTTTTATTTCTCAAGTGGAAAGGCAAGTAATTGAATTGTGGGAAATGTACTGGTCTCCAGTTTCAAGAAACAGTACAGCACAAAGACCTGGCATTCTGGCTGAAGAGTTGTAATAATAAACAGAAATTTGAAAACCAGGAAGGTATGTTTTTCAAGAGTGCAACTGTGGCATTTCAAAGGAGGTATAACAAGAAATTCTAGAAGCTGGCCAAAATTGGTTTAGATAATTGAGGTTCCTTATTTAGATACTTGTTTTTGATGGAGAAACACAGTGATGAGGAAATGAAGAAGGTTCTAAGAGGTCTGAAACTTTCTCCTTCTCATCCTAAATTGGATTTGCCTCTGAAGAAAACTGTTAGCCCCCCACAAAAAAAAAAAAAAAAGGAATTCAATACTGCTTAAATTGTAGAGTTTAAAAAGTGACCAAAGCAGCCCTGGCTGGTGTAACTCAGTGGATTAAGCATGGGCTGTGAACCAAAGGATCACTGGTTCAATTCCTAGTCAGGGCACATGCCTGGGTTGTGGGCTAGGTCCCCAATGGGGGCCATGTGAGAGGCAACCACACACTGATGTTTCTCTCCCTCTCTTTCTCTCTGCCTTCCTCTCTCTAAAAAATAAATAAAACCTTCAAAAAAAAGTGACCAAGGCAAAATACACTTTTTAAAAATTATTTAAAAGCAGATATTTTGGTTTTCTAGGAGCTAAACCTTCTTTTCTAGGATTCCTATTTAGAAACTCAAGCTGCATGTCATTAGACAGAAATACCATATTATTCTATATCTTTGATTTTCAATATGTACTATTTTAACGATATGTAAGGAAACCTAAAATGTTAATCTGTGCTTCCAAAGAGCCTTTTAAAAACTCAGTAATATGTCTTCTGGATATACCTGCATCTTTGAAACCAATTCATCTCAATATTTGAACTTTTTGATTAATCCAAGTTCAGTGAACCTATGACTTCAAATCAGGTTATCCAGAAATGGGAACATTTTTTTCCTGTATTTACATCCTAGTTACATGTAACATACATGCCTGATCTACTGACTTCTACTACCTTTTATAACTAAATTATGGAAGTCAAGATCTAGTATTGATTATAGTCACGTGACATTCATTCTGAACTTGTATTCCTTTAATATTTCTTTAATTACTAAACACTCTTATAGCATTGCATTTTTATTAGCAAATTATGTATATTCCAATTTTGGCTGGGCTGTTTGATTAAATGTATAATTTTGTATAACTTTCTAACTAGTTAATATTTCTATATACATCTATATTTTCATCTCATTTTGTAATCACCCAATTAATAATAGAAAAATACTATGGTATTACTGTAGTCTTTAACTTGAATCAAGTCTTTCAGACTCTTTACATAAAGTATCCTCATCCATCTCTGAATCTACTCTAATTCTTGTTTTACTAAGCGCTTGTTCACTGAGACTGTAGCATTCCCAATTTTTTAGTTCAGTTCATTTGGACTATTGGATGTCTAGCACTGTGGGGGAATATGAAGACCAATAAAAAGCACAGTCCCAGCCCTCAACTTAGAAGAACTTGTAGAACATTGCAGCCAGACTTTCTTGGGGTCTCTTATTACAAGAAGGGTAAGACAAACCTGTCCAGTTTGGCTTCCAACTTGGTAACTCAGAGAAATTCCAATTCTTACCAGACTATGAGATGATAGAGAGTAACATGAAATAGAAACACTTGGTATTTGGTGTGTTTTACTCAGCTGATGAAGTAAAAAGCCACTTTAAAACAATGATTTCTGGATTTGAGGTACTGATATGAAATCTGAAGGTGCAGAATGCTGCCAAACTAAAAGCTCTCTATGGTTAGACAACTTCTACATACATTTTTGCTTTCATTGCAAATTCCTATTTATTTTGCCGTATATTATTGCTTTTTTAATCCATGCCATGCTTACTACTCATTTGCCATTCACCATCTAAGGTGTAAGCTTTTTATCCATTTAAAGACATTTGTGGTTGGATCTATCTCATAATTTAGATGAATGTTAAGGCATTTTCTAGGCTTAATTATGAGATGATGAAATTTTTAATGAAATTTGTACATAACTTTTCATCTCTTGTGGGTCCAGTGGAAGGACTAATAATTCTTAAGGTGTAGCAAAGTTGGTAGTGATGTTTTGTTTATAACACTAAGTTATAAGTCACATTGTTGTCTTTCATGGATTCTTCGGCTCCAGGAAGGTAATAAAATTTCCTAAATTTATTTTTACAAATTTTTCCTGGTGGCTTCTGTATTGCTAAACATACTGTTACAGAGTCAACTTCCTTAAACAGAGGAAAAATAACAATAGAATGTGGGAGATTTAGAGTGCTTTAGCAAATCTTTTATCCCATCAAGGTCTCTGGTGATGTGACCATTTCTATTATTTAGGACAGAGAAGCAACACAAAAACTTAGAAAACTTACTGCAGCACTTACGAAGCTGAAGTTTGCCAGATGTAAACAGTATAAAAGACACTGGAAACTTCTCAAGCTGCTTTCCTTTGACCATTTTATATCACTATGGGCTCCTGATTTCAGATATATTTTCAAAGCAGCCCAAATTAATTCTGATTTAGCATAACCTAAGAACTCTAATTATGACTTGTATATTAAATCAAAGAGTAAAATTCAACACTAGAGCTCCTTTCCAGAAAATCTTTGTAGGGAGAACTTTAAGTTGCTTATAAGGTAAATTATTGAGATTCAAGAATAAGCTAAAATCTTTTAGTTTTACCAGAAATGAAACTGTGGGTGATAGAAGCTGAAACAAATGGAAGAGAAGTAGGAGAATATTGGTGGTTTGTCAGTTAAGACTGACAAGCATTAACATGTTATTGTAATGATTCATACTTCTGTATATGAGATAGATTGACAGGTGTATATGATTTGATGAACAAAGTTTTCAGCATATTTGGCCAAGACAAGCTTCTGCCATTATTTTCTTATAACTGAAAATAAAATTCACAAATCATTTCATTCAAGAAGTGGTACCCACTTGAAAATGTTGGTCTTTTTATCCATAAAGCAGGTGAGAGTTTTTAATTTGCCTATGGCACATCTAACATCCCAGTTTTCTTCAAACTATTATATGTTTGGCTGCCTCCCTTTCTTAAACAAGACTCAATTTTTTACATGTCCTCACATCCCAATCACAGTGTGCAACTCTTTTTTAGAGTGAACACCAGAGGTTTACTAAGATGATCTTGACATATGTCTCCAGTTGAGGTGATCTCTAAAATATTTACTAAAATAAGAAACTCAATCCACTCTGAAAGTAACCTTCCCCTATAATGAATTTTTAAAATGCTCACCCCAGAATATATTTATTGATTTTAAAGAAAGAGGAAGGAGGAGAGAGAGAAAAAGAGAAAAACATTGATCAGTTGTCTCCTGTGTGTGCCCCCTATGGAAATCGAACCCGTCACCTAGGTTCCAACTGAGCCACCCAGCCAGGGTTATACTAAATTATTTTTTAAGTGTGGCAATCTGTCTCCTATAAATTTCTACATTGTGAACTCATGACTTTTAGACACTAATAAAAGGCTTAAATTATTTTAATTTAAACCCATTGTCAATGTTACAAATTGTATTTGTAGTAAGCTCTAGAAGGGAAGGCACTGTTTTTTTCCTTGCAGTACCTCCAATGTCCAGATAGTATCTGGCCCACAGCAGATGTCAATAAGTATTTATTGGAATGAATGAATGTTATGTATATGTTTCCACAGGTAATATGTTTCTATTAGCACATTAAAGAGAGCATTTCTCATCAAACTAGTTTTCTGTAAATGTGAATGACAAAGAGCATATAAGTAGCAGTTTAAACAATTCCTGTTACAATATTTTTTGTTTCAGTATATCTAACCAGATACCAGTTTTTAATAATCTTATCAGCAAAGCATTACAGAGAATTAAACAGTGTTACATATAAAACCATGCCAACTATACCCTACTAGTCAAATTACATACATGCCAAAAATTTAGGAGAATAGAAATATTGTGTCTTACAATATGATCCTAGCAAGGCAACCAAACCAAACATATCACCCCCAAAGCTAAGATGACACATTAAAACAATAAGTTGGCTTTTTTGCAGAAAAGAAGGGATAAGTGCTATCAAAAACAAAACACTTAACCATAAAACTTATTTTCTTATTCGGGTCACTATTTTCAATCACTAATTTTAACATTACTAATCTTAAAATATTCAGCACTTTTATGTACTTCCAGTTCTAATGTACTTTGAGTACTAATGAACTTTGAGTTTATTTCTAATCTCTTGCTGTTATGATGTATGTTCTCAGCTGAATGTGAGCTCCTTGAGAATAAGGATTGTTTTTTCACTCATTTTTTTAATCCTGAAAACTTAGTATAGTGCTCAACAAATGTTTAAGAGATGTTTTTCAATGAATTAATTGTACTTTTTAAAATGGTGCTCAAATGCTTCAACTCAATGGGTTTTTTTAACCCTACTAAGTACACAGTACTCTTAGTGCTTAGACTTAATGCTCTTAGTGCTCTTAGACTTAATGGTTCCTCTATCTTATTTAAAATGACACATATATAAGAATTCCTACAAGAGGAAACACTAAGTCAAAGTATATGTGTAGTTTAAATTTTAGTTATTCAAAAGCTTTTCACCAAATGTAAGTACTAATTAATAACAAAGATATTATTCCTCAGTAAATATTTAGCACAGTGCTTAACACACAGTAATGTTAACACTGCTGAGTAGATTGAGCCCATATTCAAGTAAGAAAAATATATTTGTATAATAGCATATGTCTATACAAAGTAAAGGGCTCCATCTTCTTAATCAACATCACTAATTGTTACTGAGTACCTACCATATGCCAGAAAATGTGTTGAGTATATTACCTCCTTTAATCCTCATGTATCCTATAATACATATATTTATCCCTATTTGATAGATGAAGAATTTGAGGCACAAATAGTTTCAATGGCTTGCCCAAGTCATAGAGCTAATAAGTGATTAATTTGGGATTAGAAGTCAGTTAGCATGATTCCTGAGACTATTCTTGAAAGCTGTGTAGTGTTCATGAAAAAGAGAAGTGTAAAGTGGCACTGAGGTAGAAGAAGGAATATGTGCCAAAGCACCAAGTGCACAGTCTTGTTCAGAAAACAGCAAGCAATTAACAGCGGATAAGGCAATATTGAGGTATGGTTACCTACAGATGGCATGATAGAAGATAAGGCCAAAAATTTAGGCTGAGTACATATTTGACTAACATGTGTGCCTTCAACATGGAATCTCCATACAAGAAAATGGCAATTCCTTTATTCTAAAAGAGAACAAAAAAACTCATTTCTTTTTCTGAGATTTTTCTGGCATGACAGAGACTCTGGTTTCACTTTTGTTCAGGGACAGAGCTTCAGGCCTTTTCTTCCTTTCAAAGCCATAGCATTCAGTTTTTTCTTCAGAGGATACTGTTCAAGGGGTGACCAGATGGAAGCCTTCCTTTAATAAAGTGTCAATCAGTAAGCTGAGGACATCAGTTCCATTGGCCAATTTTTGGTTATCAGGTTTTATAGAAACATACCTAGGACACACACACACAAAAATGTTGAGTTATAAAGCATCCCTTTAATGGCCATAAAACTAAACATAAATTTGAATTTTAACCTCACATAAAGGCATCATACCATTCTGATCAGTTTTTTTTGAGACTTCATTTATAAATCCAAATCAGTAATTTCAAAGTAATGAAAACATACCTTGCTGTGATTTCCAAAGTCATTTTAATTCTACATTTAGGAATATAACCAAAATAGATGAATTTTCATTGTAAACTATTTTCTAGAGCAGTAAGGTCAAACATTTATTAAATGTTTAAATTTGTTTAATCGTTTTAATGAACATTTAATACATATACAGTTTTCCCCTTGATCTAATTTACCCATTATCAGCACTGACATTACACACTTTCTTTTGTGATTTACTCCTATCCCATGCATTTTCTTCAGGTAAATCTTGCAGATATAAAATATCACGAAGAATTGTCAGTTTTTACTCAATAACTGTCTAATGTTGAAAAGCAAAACATGGGGTCAAAAGGCCTCTGGAGTTGAAATGACAAAACTTTCTATTTCCTGGGAAACCTGATAGATCCAACCCACATAATTCAACAAAAATGTATCCGAACTTTTCAGATTGGTTATATGTTGGCTTTAATAATGTCAGTATAATGTATTCACATAGATATGGTTGTACTGCTCCTTCTTTATTTAACGTCAAGGATAGTTTTATGTCTTTGTAAGCCTTGGGGATATCTCAAGCCTCCTTAAATTATGATTGAAATAGAGTGGGTTATTGTAGCTCACATTTAGAAGTTCATTATAGAGAAAGAAAATTCAATAATAAAATATAAGAATTATAAAACTACAAAGTACATATCAAAAAATGTTTATTATGTCTGATATACAAAATTTTAAACCTTAGTAAATCATTCCATCTACTCCCAAGTCCTAGATCTTGATTGTATAGCCTAGAAAGATTTTTCAAAGTGAAAAAGAGTTATAGAACATCTCACAAAATTAAGATACAAACAGTATATAGTAGATTATAATAAAGTGGAATGCACTTTGCAAGAAATCACTGAGCCAAAGTACTTAATTCTCTATGAAGCCAAATTGAGAAATGACATTTCAAGGCACCAGAAAAGAAGTCAATGAGAAATAGAAAATCAAAACATATTTTAAAAACTTAAAAGGCAACTACACTTTTCCATTTGACCTAGTTTAAAAAGAAAAAGGAAAATACACTAAGTGCTACCAGAATTCTATGGCCTAGAATCCTGTGACCATAACTTTATCTTGATAATGTTACCACATCTGCAAGATGCAAGTCAGGTATTTCTAGTACTGTGAACTTGAGAGGTAATTACTGAGCAGCCTGCTAGGTTAATAAGACCTTCAAGCAGTAAATCACATTGTGGAACATACTGAACACCTGGATGACACACCAAACTCCTAGGAGTGATTTAGGCTTACTCTTCCACTTTACACCTTCAAAAAACATCTGAATAGAAAGACTCAGGCCAGGGAGTGAGCAAGAAATAAACAAGATTGCTATCTGGCAATCATCTATGGTAGGTCTTCTAAAGCCAGAGATTTCATCCAGTCATCTGAAATCCCAATAATGTCACCTTATTCAGGTTATGTCTTTACTTTGAAATTGGCACTATACCAAAAAAAAATCAAATACTATTTGGGGATGAAAAGATTTTTAATTTTAAAAATAACTTCTGGTTCTGGGATTATCTATTTTGGAAGTTTAAATAATATCATTCTGACTTCCAGCCAAGATGAGGTATAGGTAGACACACTTTGCCTCCTCACACAACCAAAAGAAGGACAACAGCAAATTTAAAAACAAAAAATAACCAGAACTGCCAGAAAATAGAACAGTGTGAAAGTCCAACAACCAAGTAGTTAAAGAAAAAACACTCATCCACACCACCAGGAGGGGCAAAGAGGACTAGCTGCAACAAAGTGGGTGGTGGACCAGGCAAGGCATTAGCTGGCAGAGTGGGCAGTCCCACATTTGTATGCAGATAACCCAGGAGGAACAACTGGGGAGCGAGACAGACCACATAACCAAGGGTTCCAGCGCAGGGAAATAAAGCCTCAAAACCTCTGACTGAGAAAACCTGTGGAGGTTGAGGCAGCAGGAGAAACTTCCAGACTCACAGACTTTGTTGGAGAGACCCACAGGGTCTTAGAACACATATAAACCAACCCACCCAAGTATTAGGACCAGAAGGGCCCAGTTTGCTTGTGAGTAGTGGAGGAAGTGATTGAAAGCCAGGCAAGAGCTGAGCAAGTGGAATTGTTCCCTCTTGGACCTGTCTCCCACATACAGTGCCACAACTCAGCAACATGGGTTGCTGGGTACCTAAGCATTTAGGTGAGTACCTAAAGCTGTGCCCCTTACTAAAAAAGAGGCATGCTGCCATAAAAAAGTATGGCCCAAATGAAAGAGCAAATCAAAGCGCCAGAAAAAATACAACTAAGCGATGAGGAGATTGCCAACCTATCAGATGCACAGTTCAAAACACTGGTAAACAGGTTGTTCACAGAAATAGTTAAGTATGGTTGAAAAATAGAGGAAGAAAGTGAAGGCTATGAAAAGTGAAATAAAGGAAAATGAACAGGGAGCCAACCGTGAAATGAAGGAAACCAGGTCTTAAATCAACGGTTCAGACCAGAAGGAAGAAATAAACATTCAACCAGAACAGAATGCAAAAACAACAATAAAAAAAAAAAAAAAGAGTCACTTAGGAACCTCCAGGACAATGTAAATGTTTCAACATCCAAAATAATAGGGATGCCAGCTGGAGTACAGGAAGAGCAAGAAATTGAAAACTTACTTGAAAACATCATGAAGGAGAATTTCCCTAATCTGGCAAAGGAAATAGACTTCCAGGAAGTCCAAGAAGCTCAGAGAGTCCCAAAGAAGTTGGGCCCAAGGAAGCACACACCAAGGCACATCATAATTATATTATCCAAGATTAGAGATGAATCTTAAAAGCAGCAAGAGAAAAGGAGACAGTTACCTACAAAGGAGTGCCCATAAGACTGTCAGCTGATTTCTCAAAAGAAACTCTGCAGGCAAGAAGTGGCTGGAAAGAAATACTCAAAGTTATGAAAGGTAAGGACTTACATCCAAGATTACTCTATCCAGCAAGGCTATCATTTAGAAATGAAGGACAGATAAAGTGCTTCCCAGATAAGGTCAAGTTAAAGGAGTTCATCATCACCAAGCCCTTATTGTATGAAATGTTAAAGGTACTTTTTTAAGAAAAAGGAAAATGAAGATAAAAAATGAACAGTAAAGTGACAACAAACTAACAACTATCAACAACCGAACCTAAATAAACAAAACCAGAAATGAACAAAGCAAACAACTGGAATAAGAACAGATTCCCAGAAATAGAGATAACATGGAGGGTTATCAACAGGGAGGCAGTGTGGGGGGCTGGGAATGGGGGAAAAGGAACAGGGAATAAGAAGCATAAATGGTAGGTACAAAATAGACAGGGGGAGGTTAAGTATGGTATGGGAAATGGAGAAGCCAAAGAACTTATATGCATGACCCATGCGCATGAACTAAGGTGGGAGAATGAAGGAGGGAGGTAGTGTACAGGGTGGAGGGAAATAAAGGGTAGAAAAACTGGGACAACTGTAATAGCATAATCAATAAAATATATTTTTTAAAATGAAATTAAAATTTAAAAATTACCACTCTCACACTTAGATGAAAAAAAAATTGTACTATTTCTAAAGCACAATTTAATAACAAAGGGGAAACAACTTGGTGCTGTGTATATACAAGAATATCCTAACCTAAGTTTCTAATATTGTTTTACAATATTACAATTATTTTTTCAAACTACATAGCTTCTAAAGAGCTTTTAGTACTTACAGGATATCATTTTTATTATCTTAAAATGTTTCTTCTTAAATTATTAACACCTTTTTTCCTTAGGTTTCATTAGGATCCCTTTGTCAAAAAGGATCCCCAAATATCTCAATCGCTCAAATTTTAAAAAACAAAATACTGGTAATTTACCTTCTGTTTTTCATGTTGGCAAAAAGAGTGTATAGTTGTTTCCGTAAAATAAAAGACACAGCCCTGGCTTGTATGGCTCAGTGGATTGAAAACCAGCCTGCAAACTAAAAGCGCATCAGTTCGATTCCCAGTCAAACATATGCCTGGGTTGTGGTCTAAGTGCCCAATTGGGGGCATGCAAGAGGCAAATGGTCAATGTTTCTCTTTCTTTCTTCCTCCCTCTCATTCCTTCTCTCTAAAGTAAATAAATAAAATCTTTAAATAAAGCAAGTAGAGAGAGACCAAGATGGTGGAGGAGTAATTAGAAGCTATAATAACCTACTCCCAGTACCAATGTAGAATTACAACTCAATTGTAAAGAACTCATCCAGAATAACCAATGGAACATTAGCTGGAGAGAAGCCTTATAACCACAGAAAGACAGAAGAAACTGCTTCACCACATCATGACAGGTATGGAGTGTGAAGGAGACAGAAGAGGGCTGGCTGGGCTCCCATGGGAGGCAGCTGAAGTGCCGGAGGGAAATTCAGTGGCTGGGGAATTCTCCTCTGAAACTTGTGGAGTCTAAATCACTAGTTGGGCTCCCCAGCCTACAGCATTAGAGCCAGGAAAGGAACCCAGATAACATCCAGGTGTGAAAAGCAGCAGGATTTCTGTCTGGCAGAGAATCCTGGCAGAGAATCCTTTTAAAGGGCCAATTTACATAATGTCATTTGCAACCACTTACCCTGGGCTCCAGCAAAGTAGTGGGGCAGACTGGACTAAGGACACTGGAGAAGAGTCTGAGGACAGGGGCTTAGGGAAGAGAACTGAGGGAGCAGTCTCCATGATCTCTGTGCTAAGACATCCCCCATTCTGCAGCAGGCATCGTGCTCAGACTGAGCAGGCCTCTCCCAATGGCACCAGCCTAAGGGGAAGCAATAGCCCCACCCACAGGAATTACTCTGCCCCACCCTGTGGTGCTTAAGC